ATTAGCTGCATGTACATCACACATACACCTTTTTTTCTTTGCCTGTAGTGGAATTCCAGCATGTCTTCTGCCTTCTCACCCTGGGGCTGCTGGTATCTCTCCTAGGGAAAGCGAAGTAGCTCTTGATATGATACTGACATTGTGCTATCACTCTTCCCTTTCTTTTCTGTCCTTTTGACCAGGGGGCGTAATTGATGCCAACCTGAAGCTCCTGCAGGAAGCAGAACAGCGCCTGAAGATGATTGTCACAGGGAAGTTTGACACAGCAATGAAGCAGGGAGACCTGCCCCAGGTGGAACGGTTCTTCAAGATCTTTCCTCTGCTAGGCTTACATGAAGAGGGGCTGAGCAAGTTCTCGGAGTACCTCTGCAAGCAGGTAACATGTTCTGCAAAACATACTGTGACCTGGCTGTTCTCCTAGGGGAAGAGCAAAACCCAGTCTCTGTCAACAGATGTAGTGGAAGAAGGTCTTAGCTCTGGATTGCTAATCTTAAAAGCCAGCACTGGCCTTAGTTCATCTCTCTCCCTGCATTTTGCATCCTGGGATGGGCTTTCTAGTGTCTGAATACAGGCCCCAATGGCTAGATGGCTTCTCCTGTCTTAGTGTTTGTCCGTGCTTAAACCTCATGCAAGGGAGCCTGGAAAGAGAAGAACAAGTTTCTGCCTCTCCTTGACCCTTCAGTTTTCCACAAGAGAGGAAAAGATCCCTGTTCAAAGGAGAAACAAGAGCAATAGCTTTTGCAATGGGAAGGCCACCAAAAGCTCTGCAGGTCAAGGGACAGAGGACCACCCAGTGGGAAGGAGTGTCTTTTATTGTCACGAGCCGACTTGTCCTGTTGTTGTGCAGGTGGCCAACAAAGCAGAAGAGAACCTGCAGCTGGTGATGGGGACAGACATGAGTGACCGTCGGGCTGCTGTCATCTTTGCGGACACGCTGACGCTCCTCTTTGAAGGTAATTTTCCTTTCCTGTTTGTTGATGAACTGAAAATAATCTGTGATATGATTGTCCACCAATTTAAATGCTTTTCATTATAGCTCCAGGAGATCACAGAATGTGTCCTTTCCTCTTCCAACTATGAAAGTGTCATACTAGACGGATATAACTTATAGATGATTCCCAGCCAAGAGAGGGCATTACAATAAGCAAGCTTGCGCACATACACCTTGTTCAGGCACAGAGTGGATTTGCAAAGGATTTGTTGGCTTCTTCCAGGAAGCAGACTCTTCCTGTTCTCTATGTCCTCAAAACAAATGGGTATTCCCTGAAGATTTCTTCAGATACTCAGCTCTCCAGACAAACAAATCAAATCCCTTAAGACTGAGCATCTGTTGATGCCTCCAGGCCTGGTTCTTCACGGAGGACCATGGGAACTTGTAAGCAGAAAGGGAAGGGAGAGAAGGGAATATGAATGCTCTGTGGGAATGTTGCCAAAGACAGTAATTGAGATCCATGGTGATTAGCCATCTTCTCTGTTAAGTCTGCTATAATTCCAGGGTGCACCACTGCCAGGTCATTCTCCCAGCCTGGCACCTGTGCTGCTATTGAAGGTCCTTAGAACTCCTGAGGCTTTCTTGGCAGTTGCTTTAAAAGAGGGGGAGTGTTGCTAACTCTTGGAGTAGAGAGTTTGTGAGAAAAAAGCAGTATTGTAGAGATACTTTCTTGGAGACTAGCTTTTTTCTCCAAGGAGGCCTTGCCATCACTAACGCTTGCTTTCGTGGGCACTTGTGTGACATATAAGAACAGAGCTTTCCCTAAGTTGATTTTCCTGACACTGCACTTCTCCTGTAACCTGGCAGATGCTAAAAGCTGAGGCAAGGTTTGGGTGGTAGTTGTGTCCCCTGCCAGGTTTAGCTCATGCAGCTTTCTCCTGTGGAAGCTTCATACCTTTTGTCTTGCTGGATAGGAAGGCGGTTGACACATTGCATGGCAGGAGCTCTCTGCAGGAAGAGAGATGCCTTGTGCTCCAGGAGGTTTGCAGTGTAATCTTGCAATAAACAGCAGAAAGCATAGAAGGCATCTTATCAGAGAGAAGACACCATGAAATGTTGTAATAACAGGCCTTCAGTGAAGCACCAGATAGTGGCTGGACAATCTAAACTGCTAATCTGGATGTGAATGATCTCTTGTTAAGTCTTGTCTGTGGAACTGTGTAACTCTGCTGTGGGTCCAGACTGAACGGGAACTCCTGCTTGAGTCTTCCTTTTGTTCTTCCCCTCTTCCTGCAGGGATTGCTCGTATTGTGGAGACACACCAGCCAATTGTGGAGACCTACTATGGGCCTGGGAGGCTGTACACCCTCATCAAGCACCTGCAAGTGGAGTGTGACAGGCAGGTTGAGAAAGTGGTGGACAAGTTCATCAAAGAGAGGGACTATCACAGGCAGGTAAGAGGAGCATGATGCTGCTTGATGCAGCCAAGAGTGGCCTCCTCCAGCTCCGTGAAGCTCTGACTGCCCTTGAAGTGGCAAAGTTCGACCTCGTGTATTGAGAGAAACCTTGCTTTGCTCCACATTTGCACTGATGGCTGAAGGGGTCCAGCCTGTAGCTATCCCTTCTGGGGCAGAGAAGGATTCACTGGGAGCATGGTAAATGGGCCCTGGGGACAGGATTCTTCACTGCGCAGGTCTGTAGGGTGCTTTCAGTACACTTTCCCCACTGTGGTGTTCCGGCTTCTGTCTGCTGCAGGGCTGTCTCATGGCCATATACCTTGGTGCCTCTGTTGGTATTCCTATCCTACCACTCTTCCTGGCAGGCTGAGCGTTATCTTGGAGGAGGGGATTAAATGATGTGATTCCCTTCTCTCGCAGTGCTTCCTGCAGCGCATTCCTGTCACCCACCCTGAGTAAGCATCTCCTTAGACAACAGCAGGAGAAGTGGTTAACACTAAGTCATCAGCAAAGGCTTTGATGAGTCTTTTTTGTGATTGCAGTTCCAGCAAGTTCAGAATAGCATGATGAGAAGTTCTTCTGCGGAGAAGATTGAACCAAGGTACAAACAAACCCTCTTTTTGCACCCTACCTTCCACTCTTGAGCTGTTATTAACACTACTTAGCATTTAGACAACTCTCCTGGTCTTCCAGAGGCTTTGTGGCCACTAAAGCATAAAATCCAATTATTAGGTGCCCTTTTATAAAGGCAGTTTCTGTGGTGGTGGTTTATTTTGCTTACGCATTACTTTCAAGCCTCAGGCCTAAACATTGCTGGCTGGCAGTATCACTGCACGCAGATGACTTGAGATTTTAATTACCTGTGCCCACAACCTTTTGGTGGTCAGAGTTTTGTTTCTGAGCTTTTGCTTTTTCATCTGTAAAATAAAGATCATGGATCTTTGCCTCACTTGTGTGTTGTGAGGCTTTGAGCAGGATTTGTAAAGTTCTGTGCACACTGATGAAAAAGCTGCTGATGTGACAGTCTGGTTTTTCTTTTTTCATAGTCATCCCTGATCTGAACACTGCATTCTGCATTGCCATGTGGTTTTTTTGTTCTTATGTTTCCTGAGCTTTAACAGATTCTTCATCATTTTCAGAGAAACACATTAATCTGTGCACAAAAGCACATAGATGGAGGAGGCAGGGACCAGGCTTTTCTAACACTGGCCACAAGGCTCACAGAATCATAGCAAAACTGAGGTAGGAAAGGACTGCCAAAGATCTCTAGCCCACCCTCCCATCAAAGTGGGGCTAATTTTGAAGTTATATCAGGTTGCTTCATCTTGCAGTCCTTACTGCTGTGATTTCACTCTTTTCTTGCATCTGTGATGAAAAAAGAGGCTTCTCTGTAATGATTTTTCCTGTTTTGATTGTGTGTGCATTCTTTGCACATACTGGTTATTCTGCTGAGCTTTGTCACTCAGTGACACAGATGGGGAAGGGGTGGTATTGATCTCATAGTAAGAGAGCAGAGAACACACTACTCAGTTAAATTAGTAAATTTCCTTTTGTAGTCTTGCTACCTTGAGTCTTGCTATGCTCCTTCTAGGGAACTTGACCCTATTTTAACAGAAGTCACTCTGATGAATGCCCGCAGTGAGCTCTACTTGAGGTTCATCAAGAGACGAATAATAGCTGATTTTGAGGTGGGAGACTCCATGGCCTCAGAGGAGGTAAAGCAAGGTAACATCTTGAATACCAGTGCTTGCAGGCTCTCTTCTCCTTCAGCCAGCAGTAGAGATATAGCTGAGTTAGTGGCAGAGCAGAGTGAGATATGATCTGCAAAGGGAGCACTCTCTGGAAGAGGATTGTGTAGCCTGGCCTCCCCAGACCTGTTTTAAGTACTGGTTGTTCCTTCTAGTGGGGAAACCAACATTAGGAATAACTGCAGAGTATAGTAAACAAGGTGCCCATAGAGAGGGAGAGCCCTTTGGTCACTACAGGCGCAGATCCTAAAGGTAGAGGCCACATGGAAAAGAGGCTCAAGGGTTTGGTACTCTGTGGAGCTCTGGAAATCAGTTTTGTCATCTGCAAAAGTCAGCTCAGCAATTTCAGCTCCACAGTTGAGGCCCATGATTTATTGCAGGTTGGGCTTTGCAGGTGTGTCCTTTAGGTGTCCGTGAGACAGGCAGCTGCAAGGGGATTAGGTGGAACTGCTTTGTGGCACTAGGCCCTTGCTGATGGTTCTTTGTGTTCTGTAGAGCATCAGAAATATCTGGACAAGCTCCTCAACAACTGTCTGTTGAGCCGCACAATGCAAGAGCTCATTGGCTACTACATCACCATGGAGGAATACTTCATGAGGGAGACAGTCAACAAGGTAGGGCTCAGACTGCTGCTTGCAATAGCTGCACTTTCTGCCAGCAGCTGAGACCTCAGCTCAGTCCTCTGCTGGGTATCCCTAGGGAGAGAGATGAGTACATGGCAGGTCTGCAGTCGTTGGGAAGGTCTTTTGTTTTCCTTGAAAAGCAATTAGTTGTTTCTGAACTTTGATTCCAAACATACGCCTGAGTATCCTCCAGACACAGGTCTTCCAGCACTATGGGGTACTGAAAACTAGAATGAGTTGTGCGCTTGCAGAGGAGACACCATGATCAGTCAAGTGGCTTTCCAAGAGCAAGGTTTATCCTTTGCACTCTGGATGTGCTGACCCCTGAGATTTCCCCAAATGCAGGAAACTTGACTGCATAATTTGTGGTATGGGGGACTGCGTTTGTGCTCTTCCCTGATTTGATGGCCTGGCACATCGGTCCCACAGAAGTATGAGGCTGTAGTGGATACCAGTGCACAGTGTACCCTGATGCCATCAAGCTGTCAAGAGGTGGGCGCCACTGGCGCTGCTGCTACCATGCCCCACTCATGGTACACTTCAGCTCAGGTTGGAATGGGCAGGCTAGAGGTTTGGTCTCACAGCACTGCTTTTGAGAGGGCACCTTTACTAGCTGAGCTGAGGGCACTGAGACAGCTTTCTTTGCAGGCTGTTGCCATGGACAGCTACGAGAAGGGCCAGCTCACCTCCAGCGTGGTGGATGATGTGTTTTATATCGTGAAGAAGTGCATTGGGCGTGCTCTGTCCAGCTCCAGCATAGACTGTCTCTGTGCCATGATCAACCACTCCACCACTGAACTGGAGTCTGACTTCAGGTAACGAAAATACACCAGGTTCATTGTGACTTGCCTCCACCTCACGTTCTGCAAACAGTGCTTCCTGTCAGATGGTCTTACCTGTGTTCTTTGCCTTTGAACCTCTGGTTTGTCATCTCCATGGAAGATGCTTACAGGAGGCATCATTGGGTATGGTGTAGGAAGCTGGAGCTGGGCATGCTTTTCTCACAGTAGTCATGGTCACCTGTAGAAGAAACAGAAGGATGAACCTCATGGCTCAGAATACCAATGAGACTGGGTCACCTCATAGCATTGGAAGCTACCCTGCTTGATGGTACACCGTCATCCCTAATTTTCTCTGTGCTATCTGTGAGCTTGCTTAGTAGCATGAACTTGGGGTGAGCCTGCAGAGATTATCTGGCTTCTGGTTTTCATCCTCACGTGGGAGTGGGGAACTGACTGAAGATTGCAGACAGCTGCAGGCAGGATTTTGCGGAAAGATCAGTCACTGGGTGGATGTGGTTTTTTTTCAGCATTGTGTCCCTTAGATACTGTCAGGAGATACATGCCAGCTCTCTTCTGTCCCTTCTGAAGTTCCACTTACCTTGTTCAAGTCATGGCCCAGCCAGAGTGCTGTCCCCTGGCACAGAGCACAGTAATTGCTCTAAGCTATGGTGTTTTTTGCTTGCCTCATAGGGAGGTTCTGTACAACAAGCTGAAGCAGGGCTTTCCAGCCACAACCTTCCAGGATTTCCAGAGGGGGGTGACCAGTGCCGTGAACATCATGCACAGCAGCTTGCAGCAGGGCAAGTTTGATACCAAAGGCATTGAAAGCACCGACGAGGCAAAGCAGTCCTTTTTGGTGGGTATGGTGGCTGGTGCAGAATGAGTTAAGGTGAAGGGAAAGACAATGGGGAACTCTTGGGAACAGGATTGGTGTGACTATCACGTGTTCAGAGAACCTGAAAGCCTGTTCAGCTGTAGTGGGTGGCCTGACTTTGCATGTCTGGTAGATGCTGTAACATCACCTCGTGTTTGCAGGGCTTCCACAAAGGGCCTGTGCAAGTATGATCCTGTGGCAGCCTCTAGGGCTGCTGCAGTGGTGACTGCCTCCAGGCTGGGGAAGAGTGTGCTCTTTTGAGGTGTCCAGCAATCCTGTTGCTCACAGGTTCTGCACAAAAGTGGTGGTGGGAGAGCATCTTGTTCCTAGTGTGCTGTACTTGCTGCAGGTTCAGCACACTTACCCTCTAGATGAAAAAGTTTCATGGCCCAGGCTCAGGACTCTTTCATTCTCACTTAATCAGATCAGAGTTCCCATTAGAGCTGGGTTGTCTTCTCTGCTTGGCCTGCAAGATCCGCCTGTTGCCTTCTCCTCATAAGCAGCACTGCAACTCTGTGTGCTTGAGCAGGCCAGAACATGACAGTGAGCATTAGAGACCCCTTGGACAGCATTTGAAGGGCCATTCTTCCAGCTTTCTGCAGTGTATCAGATCCTTCCCCATGGTGGGATGCTGTACAGACTTGCATTGTGGAAAAGACTTTGCTGGAAGAGCAACTGGATCTGCTCACTCCTCTTGACCAGCCCTGCTGTTTGAGCAGACCTGTGGGCAGAGACTGGGGAGGGGTCTGGCTCAGCCTGTCTTGGTTCCCTCTCTGCAAATTGCTGTGAGCACCGAGTGCTGAAAACATTCCTTGTGGCTTTCACTGTACAAGGAGAAAAGGCAACAGAGAGCAGAGGGGACTGACCTCTTCCATTTCATTAAATTCATTACAGGTTTCTGCACTTCTTGAAGGAAAGTGCTTAAAATGTCAGTTCTCCCACTGGAATTCCTCACTCACCTGTCAGTTCGCCTCATTTCCCTGTCTGCACAAACTCCAGCCTCATAGTGACATTTAGTTCAGCTTCAGCAGGCAGAGAACAGTCTGTTCAGTGAAAAGCAGATATTTACCAGGCAGGAGGGGTGTCAGTTCCTCCTGCCCAGGTACAAATGCGTTCCTCCCTCCCCTGCTTCTGTGGACCCAGCATATAAACCATCACCTCTAGCCACTCACAGTCTGTTCTTCATGACACTCTCCCAGAAGTTAGGATACATCCTGTCTTCCACCCAGAAGTGCAGCTTTGCTGTAACATTGTGAACAGAATGATGAGGAAGAGGAGTAAAGTGTGTCAAACTTTTTACTTGCTGCAGGTTCAGCACACATGCTCAGTTACTATAGCTCAGCTTCATGCAGCTCCAGGAATTTGCAAGGCTTTGATTACACAGTAACCACTCTGTCCCTTAAATGTTTGCCTTTCAGCCTGGGCATGGAGGAAACGTATGGACTGGGGACTGAGGGTGAATTCTACTTGTGTTTGTGTTTTTTTTTTTCCAGGTGACCTTAAATAACGTGGAAGTCTGCAGTGAAAACATCATGACCCTAAAGAAGACTTTGGAGGTGAGGTGTGGATTCTTTACTGCTTTTTTCCTTAATCAAATTTGTAATACCCTCCCTTGGGGGGGTCAGTTAAAGCATCTGGACTTCTGCTGTGCCCAAATTCTTGAGGTCCTTGCCCTCCAGCCTTAGGAATGCAATTTTGAGCTGGCAGAGCAGTCTCCCAGTGGATAGTATCAGCTGGAAATACCAGTTCCTCCAGCCTAACCTATCTGGCACATGTCGGGAGCCAGTGGAATAATGTGTATCACTGGGAGGTTGTGGTTGTCTGGTGCTGGACTAATAGCCCATGGTGTCCTTTCTTGCTGTCCTCTCCCAGCTTCTTCAAAGGGGCAAGTTTGATGCCTGTCCTAGCTTGCAACCATGCTGGTGGGCACCAGAGCTCAACAACATGAAGAAATAGAAACTGCCCAAGCTATTAAACCTCAACTTGCTCATGGATCTCTTTCCCTGCAGAGTGACTGCAGCAAACTGCTTAGCCAAGGCTTTGGGGGTGAGCAAGCGCAGGCTAAGATTGACAGCTGCCTCTCTGACATGGCTGCTGTTTCCAACAAATTCCGTGACCTGCTGCAGGTGAGTGCCTTGCTGAGTCACTGCTGGCCTCCTCAGGCAGGAATCATTTCAATCCAAGGCCTCGGCCACATATAGCTCTAGGAGGGAGTAAATAGTCAGCTTTCAGGCATGGAAACAGATCCAGCTTGTTTGCGGAGGCACACCAGCTGGTGGCTGTGTCAAAAGCACTGGAAGCAGCTGCAGAGCCAGAAGGAATATTGCTCCATTTGTCTTCAGTCAGCACAGAGTTGCAGTTAGTTCAGCATTTTCAAAAGAATTAATACGTGTAGCATTTCCATCTCCTCCATTTGCCCTTATGGCACAGAACACTGTCAGTTATGCAGAGCCTCCTAGATAACACTGAAGGTGGGCTGTTCATAGAGAAGAGCTGCCCTTCTCTAAGGTTTCTCCTCCTTTTCCCAAATGGAAATAATCCCTGGGAGGGGGAGCTAAATCCACACGCTGGGGCCTCTTGCCCTAAAATTTCACAGTGGTCTCTGGCAGAGAGAGAAGCAGAAAGACCTAATACCTCTTTTGAGAGTGTTTAGAGCCAGGTTTGCCATCAGCTTCATACTTCACAGAGGCGCCAGGCTATTTCTCATCTGGTTTTGCAGTTCCCTGCAGCCAGATGCCTTTGGACTGGCAGCAAACCCTCTTGAGGCTTGTGGTCGGTATGGAAACAAAAGAGCTCATCAGTAAGGAGTAAAACTCCAGTCTAGTTCTAGTGCAGTATTAAAACTGGCTGCAAAACAATCAAGAGTCTGAGCAGCAAGCTCCTGCGCTGTCCAACTCACACACACATTGAATTTGCCTTGGAAAAGGGACAGTTGCCAGCAGGGCCTGCTCAGACATGCCAGTTTTAGTTAAAAACTTCCAGCAAGCACCAGGCTGTATTGGTACCTGAGTAGTTTCATGCTGGGTGAGCTTTTTTGACATCTTGCTGAGCCAAATGAGGGTGGTTGGCAGGAGGGAGCTTTCAGAGAGCTCTTTAGCACCAGAGCAGACAGAACAGCCTTTGCTGACAACCTGCTGCTCAGGGGAGATGGCGTGAGCTGGGGTTATGATTAATTCCGGGAACTAGCTGTGGTTACAGCTTTTATCCTCTTAGCTTCTCCTACTGAGTTAAGCTGCACTGGAGGTGGGAGGCATCAGTCAAGCCAAATCACAGTGGCCTCCTGGCTGTTGCTGAGTGGGAAAGCTGGTGTTTGTGTCCTTTCCTCCCTGTAGGGATGTGAACTGAATGCTTCTTTCCTGCCAGAAAATCTCTGCAGCCCTGTGAAAAGAGGTGGGAGAAGCACGAGCCCTTCAGACAATGCTGCAAGTCAGCACAATGGCAGCTTTTGGGCCAGTGTCCTTCCTCTTCTTCTTGTGGTGTTCTCAAAGTACTTCAGCACCAGAAGAGTTTGGGACTGGGGGCTTCTGTGCTCAGCTTCCCATGCAAGCCTGTGGGTCAGTTTCCCCAGCTTGCAGTGGGGATTGGACACAGCATCAAGTCAGTGTAACTATAAAGGTTGTGTGCTGCTGTGCTCAGTCAGCTGTTAGCTGTGTTCTGTCACTTTTCTTCCTGTCGCTCCCAGGAAGGTCTCAGTGAGCTGAACAGCACAGCCATCAAACCTCAGGTGAAGCCCTGGATCAACC